TACTGGACAATTTTAGTTACTATATGCTAATAATTGATATAAGCAATATACTTCTGCATGTAATTCCTCTAATTTTTCATTCAGGCTTAGTTAGATTTCTCCTATCTAAAAAATTACAATAATATCACTATTAGTAATAAGCTTGTGATCTGTTAACACTATTATAAATGTCCTTGAGACAGATTGTAATATTTTTCAATAAAAAAAAAAAAAAAAAGTAATAAGCTAATAAGTAACTGCAAGACTGTTGCGAGACTCTTGCACAAGACCAAGACCATGGCCAAGACTGAGGTTGCAAGACCAAGACTCGTCTCGATCCCGCATTTGGGTAACAGTAAGCCAAACTATATCATTTGGGTAACAGAATCAAGTAAATTAAAAAGTAAACTATGATAGCCTTTTAAAAATAATACGGTAAAAGTGCTATAATTTAGAAAGGAGTTGGTATGTTTTTAAAATTCAAATATTAATGCAATTGAAGTCTCATCGCCATTTAGAGCTACAGAAAAAAAAAAAAAAAAAAAATCTGTTGGAGCGCATGACCATATTTCCACCTATTTCACTCCAGTTAGAAAAAGTTAGTTCTGTTAAACAGTAAATAAGCTTTAATGATATTACTTTTAGTATAATAATAGAAAACGATACGAAAACATAGATTTTAGTTTAAATAGAGCTAAATTACATAACTTCTTTTATCAAAAACTTCTATCGCCAAAGCTGTTAAAGGCCTTCAATCCCAGAGCTGGTAAGGTCATTAGAAGAGAGATGGCAATAAGGCCCTAAGAGAAGAGAGCGGCAAAGACCAACAGTGACAGATGACCGAAGCGGCCCCCCGGGACTGCCCGGGGCTCCTACTCAGTTATTGGGATCCGCCCCCCAAAACTGCCGAGTCAACAGGGCCCCAGGCTTTGTCGCGGTTCCTGCATGTTGACTCCCGCTGTCTCAGAGCACAGCATCTGCTGATGTGTGCTAACTACCCGCAATCCAACTGGAAAGCGGTTCCTCAGTAGTAGTGGGAGGTATTGGTCGATCATGAGATGCAATAATATTATATAGCAGATACAGGGTCGTAACTGAAAAGAAAAAATTGTTTGAAGAATAATAATACAAATTGTCACATTCAAGGGCATTGAGTATTATGGCTTTATGGGTACATTAATACTATTTATTTACAAATTAAAATACAAATTAAGGAGACAATAAAATAAGAAGTAAAACTATATACAGAAAGGAGATGGTTCGGGTTGGCGGTCATAAATAGGCTGAATAGTGGCAAAACTATTTTATTAAAAGCCAACGTTTCGACCCGACTTTGCAGGTCTTCTTCAGGACTAGAACGCATAAGATACAAACAGATAGAGAATTGTGACATACTATTATGACAAAAAAATATACTATACTACAAAAATATACTATAACACTATATACATTAAAAAAAAATCTTGTTAAAAGAACAAAAATACATTGAAAGAATAATAGAAAAGAGAAAAAAATACTTGCCACATTTATTCCTATATACAATATTTACATTCAGCCTTGGGAAATCTGTATCGGGTGAAAGGCAAAGCAGAACTCAAACAGATACCAGCGCTTCTCTCCTAGCCGCATCACTGATCACTGTTTGAAAGCCAGAGGAGACTGAGTGAAAGCGGTAAAGTCAGAGTTGCAGAACCACTACTATATAATTCTTATTAGTAGCTGTGACCTACATGATATCCAAGTCCAAAGACGATATTTTATTTTATTTTTTAATTAATAACTCTATAACACTATATGTTTTAGAAAAAGTCATTTTGAAGCAACCTAGTCCTTACAAGCAAAAAAAAAAATCAGAAACATGCCTTTTTTATCGTTAACGGTATAAAATAATTACTGGGTTTGTAATGTAGAAAGAACTTTCTTGAAGTTTTAATTGTGCTTTATCTAAACTAAAATTTTATTCTAAAGTGTTAACAACTTTTCGTGGTAAAAATATATATTATCGAAAAACACCGATATATAGGCCCAAAATGGTTCTAAAGTTATTTTTCAAAGAGCTATTTTGTTCGCGGAAAGTTCTTATTTATTTCTTAACTCCAAAAGGACTATGACAATACGAGTGTTGAGAATTATTGCATAATAACACACTATTGCAATTATACCAATATAAAAATATTTAAAAATGTCCTTTTTACGTTTCGAGTCTTCAAGACTGGCTTCCAGAAACCGGAGTGCTTTCCGGCACATGTTTTCTTCTACTTTGGGCACTTACGTTAAAATTAGGTGAACCAACCGGCGTTTTCCAGAAGATTCGTCAACAGTATTCCATAAGGGTCTTCTACAACTTTATCTTTATGATGAATAACTAATTTAATGATTTAATGATAATTAATTTAATATTTGAAAAATTATTTTTTTCTTATTTTACCGCCTGATCTTTCCCCATCATGTAACATTTTTCTTTCTTATTCTTTTAAGAACTTTTAATATTTTTTAATAAGATAGCTAAATACCGTTAATTCAATAATAGCTAAATAAATACTTTTTTAAAAACTTTTTTCCCTGATAATTACTACTAAAAAGTCTAGGAAGGAATTATTTTAAAATATAACTATTTTTCATCGTTATCGCGTCAGACTGCATTTACTACAGATTTACATATTATTATTACATACGTGTTAATATTTTTATTTGGAAAATTTGTGAATATTCTTTTTTGGACTACAGACAGATCTCCACCTATTAGGACATACGGAGCAGAATTTGTGGGTTCCGCAAACAAACAAAATTCAAACCGTGCAGTCCAGAATACTCCGAAAAATCGTAAATGCAGCCTGGTATATTTCAAATCACATCATACACAACGACATGAACAAACAACAGTAAAATCCTAGATTCATAGCAAATACACCACATTCCACACTTCAACTATTAATAAACCTAATCCACTTGTCCTGTATATTTCTTCCTTCCCTGTTACGTGGTGAGCCTCAAAGAAGACTAAGCATTGGTCTAGGGATCTTTCACAATATAAATAATTTTCAAGAAATGTCAGACAGAGCGAAATACAGCAAATTTGTTATATGTTATAACGCAGTTGCAAATATAATGTAAAATAACATAATTAAATAATTGATACATTAATGAGTTAATATTCAATGTGTTTTAAGTAAAAATAGGATTACAGAAAAATTGATAGACATTCACACTAATAAATCTGTTATTATGTATTAAAAAAATATAATAATGTGCCAATGTTTCAGCTTACATGAACAATACCCGAAGAGGTTATTCCTATAAAGATATATTTTTAGTTATGATTTTTTTTTTGTATTTGATCAGTGGCATTCCGATTATTATAATTATAGTGAAAATTTATTGCGACCCTTACAATATAAATTAGCCAAGGGTTCTAGAACAATAACCGCCGAGATCCTTGCATATCCTAGTTGCCCCTCGGGCGGAGGTTATTCTCGGAAGGGGCTAAGCCGGGACTTGCTAATTCATAGAGGGGCCGGTGAATATTCTAAGGGGCTACAATTGGCCCAAGATCCGGCCTGTTAAACATTCACGCCGCTGCTGAGACTTGACCGGTCTTAAATTTAATAAACCGACAAGTGAACTATTCAACGGTTAGCGCCTTGATTAAACCTAGGCTGCTTGTTGTTCCTAAACCGGCACTTGAGTGCAAAGGTGGCACTCGATTTGGTACGTTAGTCTGTAGAGTAGTGTGTATCTAAAAAAAAATTCAAATTCTTGTTTTTGTCAATTTTATTTTAATAAAACATAATAGTTAACATAAATTAGCAATAAAATTAGATTAAGTTATGTATCATTTAAGACATTATTACTTATTTACTCATAAGGGGCATTCTTCTCATTGTATGTTTGACTGTACCATACACGTTCTTACCCATAGTCGGACAGGATGTCGTTGGAACCTTTAACATCCGATAAAATATCCTTTCAATTCCCGATAACAAAGATCAGACAATCAATATCAAAGAAATATAAAGTATAAATAAAAAGAAATATAATCAAGTATTTTACTCCGGCACTTATATTTATATATTGCTTTTTGGATTATTAAATAAAAGCTTGGGGGACTGGAAAAAAAAAAAAAAAAAAAAAAAAAAATATATATATATATATATATATATATATATATATATATATATATATATATATATATATATATATATATATATATATATATACTCTTGCAATCTAGGCAAATGAAGTACTAGATTACTTTGAAAAGGACCTAAAGTAAAATTATTCAGATTAAATGTAAAAATAGAAAGTACTGAAGAGGAGAGTTGAGTGAGTACTTTTGTACTCAGCAATCATCAACTAAAGTAGTTGATTTAAAGTACTCGGTACTCAAACAGCGCCAGTATTTGAGTAAAATACTTCGTACTTTTTACTCATAGTACCTTTCGCTCATAGCCTCCACGCAGAATGATACATAATCCTTCATGTTTTTTTACATTTGGAGACGCTGGAAGTAACCAAAACGTTGACTTAATTTCAGCTACTGAGACTAAAGACAAAAATTAATCTTTCCACGTCCTTAGGTTTATTTTTATTTTTCTGTTGGTATTATCTTATAAATATATCCTTTTGTTGTCTTGAATAGCCTTCCTTCTTCATCACAGCCTATCCCGGACTATTTTTTATCTATCAATCTACTTTTTGGCTTTCCAAGTGGTCTCTTGCCTACTATTCAGGGATTTATTGGTGTGTCGAGGCTTCCTGATGAATTGCTTTAAATTACATGGCTTACATCCCTCAATAGTTACATCCCTTAATCTCCTTGCATCGTATCATGAGATAAAAGAATTTCAATAATGTTATTAAATTCACTTATTATAGAATTTACTACTTATTATATATTACAAGAGAACAACAGTTTCTAAAATCCGTCGATTTCTCTTTAATAGATAGGCTTAATCATTAGTCGGAACTTTTATGTTTTATTATAAGCCGTCGGATTCGTAAACGAGGTGCAATAAGAGATGATGTCAAGCTTTGAAGTTTTGAAGCTTGGAATCCACTTCCCAAATTGCCGCTTACGATACCCCGCCAACAGCTGCTACAACTCCACCTGGCCAGAGCTTAGGGAGCAAGTTGGAAGATTCCTCCTTTGTGGGGCCCTTAGACAAATATGCCCCTGATTACAACACTTATTTGACAGTTTTGGGGAGGGGGCCTGGCCTAATTAAACCCTTTGAGCTTAAGCCCTCACAAAGTGGCCGCTGCATATTTCTACACCAACTCCACACAGGGATTTATTAAAATACCTTACGAGCCCTCGGCATTATTTTACTCTTCCTTCTCCGCGGCCTCTCTCGACTGTCGAGATAAATATTCCAATAAGGCGCATAGCTCACCCTCTGTCGATATTAACTGTCAAATAAAACAATCAACTTTATTATCTTTGTTAAGGGGTTCCGCTGATTCCAAATCGATGGAATATGAAAATATTTCATTTTCTGAAGAAAGTGGTTCGGTAACGAACGAGAAGAATAAAAATAGGCATTAAAAATTATTAAACATGTGTCCGATGGTTCTTGCCAATGCGCGATACGAATAAAGAAAACAACTTTTTAGATTTAAAAAAAAAAAGAAAAATATGGTTCAAAGGTGGTCGAAAACGTTTATAATAATAGGGGTATTCATGCACTTGTAAATGTTTAATGTGCTATCATGCTAACCAGCCAGCACAAATTTTGAATGGATGGTAAATAACTTGTCCGTACTAACATGTTATCAGTTATAGTAAGGTTATGGCTGTACTGCGATCAAATTTTGTTGGGTTTTTAATTGATCTACTAACGTTTTGATTAATTTTAAAAATGCGAAAGCGAAGAGCAAAGACTGAGTTACTGGATTATTTGGTTAAAAATGCTTTGTTAGAAATCATGATTGAAGATTCAGATGGCAAAGAACTTGATAAATACAGAGATGAAATCCTAGCTGTCTTTACATTCCATTTGTGTGGATATTATACACAAACAATCAAACACATCAAAACTTTACAATAACCTTCTACGTGCGTTTACGAAGCAAGCAACTCTTTATAGGACTCTAGGCTGCGTTAAAATGAAGGGTGCTAGCGACCATATTTAACATACATTTCGTAAATAATTTTCTCGAGTTTAGACATTTAAGAGGTTTATAATACTTACCATTGGTGGCGTGAATACTCCTACTTTATTTAAAACAGGTAGAACGGTTGCATCGTTTGTGAATAAATTGACTTCTCATTAAAAATAGATTTGTTTTATTCATATGTCATTCAGGCCTTGTTGCCAATTATTTCTGTATGAGAACTTCGAAAGGAAAACGGTCCAGCCCATTTATTTTTACTTTATTTTTTTAAACAGCCTCTAAATTGTTTTAAATAAAACATTTCTTGTATAATATATTAATTAGTAAAACATTGGGTTTCAGCGATGTATTTAATATTTATGAATTTCGAGAGAGATTGTCTCTGGAGCTCTAAGGTGTATGACTTTTTATTTTATATTGCGTTTAACATGTAGCCATTATGCGGCCAATAACTAATTAATTAATAAGAGTACTTCCTAGTAAGTTAATCCAATTAATTACTTTTGCTTTCAGGTGTGGGGAGAATGACGATGGACGTGAAGGCGGGGGGTGCCAAAGGAGGGGCACCTACGCCGAACACAGGAACGCAGGAGTGCGCCGGCTGCGGCAAACACATAACAGAGAGGTAATTGCATTTTAAGTACACATACACATCCAAGTGGTGTAAAACACGTGTTCAACATGTCTGCGTACACCATTTCAGATAAAATGCTTATTATCGAGTAATTTAATAAATAGATCATGGAAGTCCAATGGTATCCCGTTTGTTTCGATGCATTTTCTAAATTTGTTTGATAAATGTTAATTATTCGATAGGATTGATTAAAAATTAACCTTTTACTTTCAGGTATCTCTTGAAGGCCTTGGACCTTTACTGGCATGAAGATTGCCTTAAATGCGGTTGCTGTGATTGCAGGCTAGGAGAAGTTGGTTCAACTCTATATACCAAAGCCAATCTCATACTCTGTAAAAGGGACTATCTTAGGTAAGGTAATTAAGTTAAATTCATGATTAATGATCATAATACCTATGGGGGAAATTATTTTTATTAATTTTCAATAACCGATATTATTTACAAACAGGTATTTTATGGTTGTCATGGTGACACCTGACAATGATTTCAAAATGCAATAAGACCCCATACTCGCCGTTACATTCAAGATATGAACGTTAAATTTTCTATTTTTTTAAGTCAACTATTCGCTAAGATGATTAAATCATATCTAACAAGTCATTATTATTATGTTTAAATTTCTCTAAAAAAAGAAAAAGTATAGATTTACATTAGCATTAAGGTCGATATCGATGATAGGCAATGCGACGAATTTTACCGAATTATTCAAGACATCCTTCTAAACGTATGTAGCATAAAACCGGATTTTATAAATTAAAAACTTAAAAGGTAAGCATCTTGCGTCCTCAGCAAGTGAGTAAAAATATAATTTCTAATATCTATGCGTACATACTGAACGTAAAATTTAACACATTTAATTCTACTTAATTTAATAAATTTTAATATCGTATGATATTCTCAGGTTGGTCTTGGTAATTTGTATTATGTATAAAACTTGTGATAATTAACATAATCAGCATAATTAACGGAAAAACAACAATATAATACAATATATAAAAAATAAATTTACATGTATGTTTATAAATTAGATTTTATGTCGTATGCGTATATTTGAAAATATGTTTACAAAACAATGGAATGTATTAAATATTTTTTTTTAAAGATTTGAGACATTTATATGAACTCTTAAATTTCCAATACTCCGAATTTCCCGCGGGAAATGTGATAAAATCTTCACGTCAAAACAGACGGGTTCACATGAATGAATCATGTACACATAACATAAATCCTAAGATATGTTGATATAATATGAAAATCTTTGAATATAAACCAAAATTAAAATGGGAATATAGTCGATGGTACCTACATCTAGATCTTAGCTTAATTAACCATCACGTCGACTTTTCGAACTTTAATAATTAATTTTAGTTTACATATTTCATTCATGTAAATTGTTATTGATTTTGATTTGTTCCAAATATTAGGCGGGGAGAGAGCAAACGACATTCTCGCCCCTCCCTATTTTTAATGGAAAGAGAGGCAATCGTCTATGCTTTCTGCAATTATGATTGCCCAAGACCAAGACCGCCTAACTGTTGCAAGACCAAGAACAGGACTGGTAAAAAAAAAATCGATTTTTCGAATAAAAATTAAGACAAAATAGTTACTATTACTGGACAACTTTAGTTACTATATGTATATAATTGGTATAACCAATTTACTTTTTCATTTAACTCCTCTAATTTTTTATTCGGGCTTAGTTAGGTTTCTCTTACTTAAAAATAACAGTAATATCTCTACAGTAATAAGCTAATAAGTAACTGCAAGACTGTTGCGAAACTCTTGCGCAAGACCATGACCAAGACCCGACACTAATTATGATGCACTTGGCTTTGCACTCATTACATGTAGCAGGGTTATAATACAAATTTAGTAAAACCGTAGGGCACAAATGATTAGACTATGATAGATTTGTCTCTTATATTCCTACAGTAATGCTCCTTATTTAATTTCTTATAAATAAAAAAAAATTATTTATATAAAAAAAAAATTTCTGAGCAGGTTATTCGGAAACACGGGCTATTGTGCGGCTTGTACCAAAGTGATCCCAGCCTTCGAGATGGTAATGAGGGCAAGAAACAACGTCTACCACCTGGAGTGCTTTGCGTGCCAGCAATGCAACCACAGGTATTGTAACCCTTGTCTTATTTTTAGATTTAATTAAAAGAATAATAGCATTGATACAAGCAGAATTATTACATAGTAGTAATAGAAACAATGAGAGATTTATCCAAACAAAAATGAAGATTTAAATTAATTTTGGTTTTCTTTGTTGATTATATTTATCGATAAAGTAACATTTGATTTCTTTATCTTTTGATACCTTGCATTATTTTATTTTATTATTAATTTGGCATTTGATAACAATATGCTGTGCGAATTTTTCGTACGGGCCTACTAGTTATAAATCCAACGGATCCAGGATATAATTTTTTTTTTGCGGCGGGAGGGGAGCCTCAGCCCGAAATATTTTTTGTATGTATTTTAGGATAATTACTTCGGAAGAAAGAAAGAAACTAACAACCTATATGAAATAGTGTTTTTTTATATAAAAAATATATAATAATATATATAAAAAAATAAATAGTGTTTAAGTGATTCTTTAAGTCCTATTTTTTTTATTAAATGTAATTAGACGAATTATAATACTTTTAGAAATATTATTTTTCATAAAACAAGCTTATACTTTTACCATGTAGGGGAGAGGGGAAGCTTCAGATCGAAAGCCCTCCTCCGTAGTTCCGCCTGTTTTTAAAAGTGTTGCTCCACTTTGATGGGTAGGTACAACAACACATGATCACATTCTAAACGCAATCCCGATAATGGCCGAGTGTGTACGGATTGAGAAGTAGAACTTTCATTTTATTTTTGGACTGAAGCTTGTCAAATTTAGAAAAAAAAGAAAAGTAAAATAAATTCATTATTACCATACTAAATAATTTAAATAAAGGAGTTAGTCGACTGTTCTACGTATCATGGGTGATAAATGATCATGACGCAGCCTTTTAAAAAAAAAAAAATATTTTTTTATCTATGCCAATGTTTTAACCAAAACAGCGTACTCAAACCGCGCCCTGAAGATGACCCACATGTTTGGGTTGAAACGTTGGCATAGATAAAAAATATGTTTGTTTTTTTTTTAAAAAGATTGCGTCATGATTATTTTTCACCCATAAATAATTTAAAAGCATTTAATTCCATTCATGAACGGTATTTCATTGCAAAATATTAGTAATTCCATATTTTTTTTATTCAATTTTTTGCCATGAAAAAAATTTACAAAGTAAAGCTTATTGTTTACATTTAACCTAGTCAAAAACCACCTTAAATCAGCTGTAAGCAATTAGTTTAATTGTTGTAAGTCAGCATAAATGTGCCACAGGGGGCGTAGCTCAGATGGTAGAGCGCTCGCTTAGCATGCGAGAGGTACCGGGATCGATGCCCGGCGCCTCCAGATTTTTTATTTTTTCAGTTTATAGAAAATAACTTTTAAAAACAATCCACCTGGTACTATCAATTAGATAATGCTAATATTTACCTTTATTTATTTTATTTTTTTAATATCTGTCTGTCAAAAACCTTATGAAGTACTAATTACAAGACAATCATGGATTCTGGCGGTAGTTCTGTGTATTTTAAATATAATTCTATTTATATTTGAAAATGATCAGGTATTTATTTTATATAAACAGAAGTTCTTATTTATCTATTTTTATTATTTATGTACTAATAGACTACCTAAATAACTTTAAGTATTTACTCAATATTTATTTCTAATTATAAATACAGATCCATCATAGGTACTGTATGATAAAAAAAACGACTAATGATACGAATAAAATGAAAAAAGGAATTTTGAAAGAATTTTCACACCTACTTAAAAAAGTAATTGGTATTAAGATAAAATAAAAAGTTTAAAATGAGATATACTTTCGTTCAAGCAGTTAGTTAACTAACACGTTTATTGAGAAATATTCTAATCTGCCTGAATTAATGACACTCAGAATAGAGTTCGTAGAGCACATTTAAACCATATTTTTTAAGAAGTAAATTATTTGAAAAATCATATGACAATATTTAATTGGTATACAAACTTTCAATTTGGTTTTCAATGCCAGTAAAAAAAAAAGTGTGAGTGCGCTCTCTGAACACTATTATAAATGCCCTTGTTTTTGACAGAATGTAATATTTCTAAATAAACAAATAATAATAAAAAAATAAAAAAAATATGGATCCGCCAGACCCGCCCTCTTCTAGTCAGAAATGCATATTAATATTTTTAAGCTGTTAAATGAACGTTAAAAAATAAAATAAAATAATGGTTAACAAATGATTATATATATTTATATAGTAAATTAACATACCTAATAATATAGCAATACATTGCAATTAGATCTTTCCAATTTAAATAATATAGGAATTAAAATAGTTAGTATTAAATTTGCACAAATGATATGACTGTAATTTACATGTATTCTGTAGTTCAAATCGTTTACTTTTCATCAATATAAAATAAACGGAATAAAACCACAGTTCGGACGAATTTTTAATTTCTTTAAAAATCTACATTATAAATCGCGCCTTATTTCTAATTTATATTAAGATATAACTTAATTATTCGTATTACCAATTTGTAACCATAATAAGGGAGAACTAATTTAGGGAATAAGAAGTGTCTTCGTTACGGCCCGTTCCGCTTTGAACATGTAAAACAAAATATGACACAGCCACAAATACTAGTTGAGCAGTCCCTCCCAGCTCAAATAAAATATAAGGCTTCATGCCACAAGTGCCTAAAATGCACATCCGGGTAAAGAAATTTTCCTATCCATGTATATACTTATTCTAAACTGTATATTGTAATTTGCTTGTTAATAAAGTTTCTGGGGGGTGAGAAAAAAAAAATGGTTATATAATTGAGAGATATTGTTTTAAATGACTTAACAGACTTTTTTGTTTTAACTAATAGAAACCATTTGAAAAGAAAATAATGAACTACATATTGAAAAACAAAAATAAACCATGTTTTGACAAGTACGTGGGCAGCGATTGTTGATGGTAACAATTTTAATTATTATTTATTTTATGTTGTCTTATTTCTTGTCCAAATCAATCTATTCTTTCCCATCACACTGATAAAGTAAAAATCATGCTTGCTCCTTAACCAATTACAGCAGGGCTAAGAAAAAGACAAGAAGTCCTCCCCAACCGCCCCTCCCCCGAACACCCCCTCTCCCTTTAACAGGATCCTGAGTCAACAGATTGAGCAAATAAAGTCAGCGTAAGGAGCTAGCTAGCTGTAAAAACTGTTTAATGGCCCTCAGCCCCTATGAGAGACCACACTAAATCTACCGGCTTTTTCCTTTATAGCGGCTAACAACACCAATAACCCTACGCTATATTAATGTCTTTCTCACTACTTTGTTACTCCAGGTACAAATCACTTCCTTATATAATTTATCGTAGAGACTTTATTACGTTAGGTTCGTAATGTCCATTATTTATTTTCTGTATTTCAATTACTGTTTCTAGGCAACTTGTAAAAAAAAATATGTCTTATAGCTTCTTAAAAGTTAAAAATCCGACAGAGAACAACAAAATAGTGAATAAAATGTAATTGAGACCTTGATGCAAGAACGAAGTATTTAAATCTAAATATTGAGGAAGTGTTTCAATGCATTTTTTATTGAAACAATATCTGTGCCAGGCGCGTAAAGAACCATGTCCATTTTTGTATTTGTTCAGGTGAGCCAATTTAACTTTGAGCTATTAACGATTGCAGGGGTGCCCATCCCCCTTCAAGGTCGATGGCGTAAGAAACTGTCTCTCTCCTCCCTAAATATTTTATTGCTCATCTTTTTTTTAAAAACAGAGAAAGCTAAGGTAAAATTAGATAAATTTTAGATCATATACAATTACACTTTCTGTTCTATGTTTCCCCCTTGTAACTTGGGCCACAAATTTATAACCCCGTCGAAATTTCCCCTCTCAAAAAATCAAAAACCCGTCAAAATATGGCCCCTCAAAAATTTTGATATCATAACTTGTGTCATGATATTTCTCGACACCCCTGAACGTTCCTTCCTTAGTGTGTTCAAAGCAATATATTCCCTCCCATAAAACCGATGAAGTAAAAAACCGTTCTCCTTATCCAATTACAGAAGAACTAAAAAAATACAATAAAACAAAGTTTCTACATATTTTCAAATACAATCTTTTAGGTTAACGAAAACTATATGGTTACCTTTATTCATCATAAAAAATTAATTAATTTTTTTTAAAATTTATATTCAGTTGTTATTAATTTAAAGTCCTGTGAGTTTATAAACTATGAAAGTTTATTCTTTATTTTTAAATTATAGTTATTATCAACTTACACTTTGTATTGTTGAAAAAAAAAAATCATTGTGAAAATTCATCATCAAATACAAGAAAATATTTTGAGTTTGTATTAGTTACTCGTGTGTTTTTTTGCTCTTCATCAAATTTTTAAACAACCTCATTCGGTACCAACCTTTTTTTTATTTACAACTATCAAGTGATCATTTTTCTTGCAAACTTATAAGAAAAAATTCCTTTGGCTGAAATTTTGACCAAAATTCACCAAAAACTGATAAATTATATTTAAAAAATATATTAAAACAGATATGAAAGGTTTAAAAAAAAAAAAACCAATGTATTTCTAAAATATAACGATGGTAAGCCTCACAGATGTAAGTATCAATTAGAAAATGGTTAAAAATTATTATTAGAAAATGTTAAACCTTAAGCTGCACAATTTTTGAAGTGAACATCAGATACATATACAGATAAACCAACAAAATACCAAAGATAATTAATAAATTATATCAAATTTTAAATAATGTTTTCATTGAAATTAGAAAATTTGCTGTTAACCATTAACATGTAAACTTGGTTTCATTTTTTACTATATATTTATCATCAGCATTTTACATTTATGGGTTACAATCCCATATATCATTCCCATACGCCATACACGATGCTCCAAATGTCATTTTTATAGCAAAATAAATTATTAAATACGTATTTTTTCCATGGAATCCACACAACCAAGTTTAATATGAAAATAAAGACGCATATATTCTTTATGAAAATAAAACTTTCCATATATAGGAAGAAGTATATTATTTTATTGATATTGATTTATTTTTAATGATTTTATCAAATAAATCTTTCTAAGCTATCCCCCTCGAAGTACTGCTGAACTAAATTTTATGACAATTCGTAAATTTACTCATATTCTGATTGCTCAAAATTGATCGAAAATCGAATATCGAATTGTTCTGTTTTTTTTTTGCTTACAGATTTTTTTTTCTTAATAAAGTGAGTAGGCTCATAATTCATAACACGAAAACAATAAATAAATGAGTGGGTGTTGATAAATCTCGAAGGTAACTGCAAATAAAATTTATTTATTTATTTTTTTTATTGTTTCTTATTAATTTTTTTAATTTAGTTTATTGAATTATTCAATCTGTCACATTGAAGGTCTACCGGCATTAAAGTTGATTCATACAATATATACTAACGAGAGGAAAATAAATATAAATAATTGAAAAAAAAATAATAAAAGTAATCTTCTTAAATACATTCATATCTTCTTGTAAACTAATAAAATCAATGGTAGTAATATCTGTTGAATTCAGCATTGTTAATAATCAATTTGTGGCGTTTGTTCTATTTGTGAATAATACTGTTCATCTATTCAATAGGTTATACAATAACATTTTCTCTTAATAATTGATCCTAAAGCTAATCCGAATACAAATATAAATAAAATCATATGTTATAGCTTGTTTTTTGAATTTTTTTTTTCTATATTTGAAGAAGAAATATAAGTTTGAACAAAACAAAAATGCACATTTCTGTATTTCTACAGTAAATGTTATTAAGAATGCAACAAGCGGGAGGGTAGGTTATTTGAGCAACACAAATTGTTTTGTTTTCCATTGTACGCTCATAATGAAGGGTGACCCTTTGACCATTGTCCATTGTCGTGTCAGCTATTGTTGTAATAATTAATTTCGACAACAAGAACGCCATGTTACAACGTGAAAAGCGATTTCAATTTATTTTTATTATGTTACAAATTTATTCATCGAGGCCTTTAACTGAATGAGGTTCGATCCCTCAATGAAAAATCGTCTAGCGATATCAATTATATCGGTAAAAGTTTGATTTTTGTTCCTCTTGTGTAGAGACTGTTCTTCTGCATTATTTAAACCGTGGAAGGCTGTCTTTGTTCTGCACAATATTTAGCATTATGAATTCCATTACAAACGTACAATAATGGTTACAAAAGAATCATTGAAAAGTTTGTCAACATGCATGAATTTATATTATAAAATATTTCAATTTTGAAAGAAATAATAGATTCCTGATCTTCTCCAATGTAACACTTGATTAAATTTATATATATATATATATATATAATATATATATATATATATATATATATATTGTTTATATTCACATTTGAAGGGTATGAGTATATAGCTATTTCATTTTGAGAAAATTGTATAATAAATTCATATATACTCAGATTGTTCTGAGTTAAATAAATGTAAAATAAGTGTAAAATTTAAAAACTACATGGACTCTGGTTTGAAGATTATAATATTCTTATAATCAGTACAATTAAAAATCTTAATAGTCAGAAACATTCAAGGGGACCACACACAATCAGTATTGAATGACAGTCACAAGACTGACAAGGATTGCCTCAATCAAGATGAACCCTAAACATATCAATCAGACTGACATAACTTTAGCTCAGTTGACGTCGAGACAACAGTGTAGATCTGGTGCATTGTCCATTAATAATGTGTTTCATTAAGAAAGCTTATTTGGCCATCATCCTTTGCAGCATTGGACGTCAAGAGAAAAGTGGCGACATAATAATTACTACTTGTTGCCTGAAAATTGTTTTGATAAAAATTAATAAACAATATTACGAAAATAATAAATTTGTTGAGAAAAAAAGAAAAATATATACAACAGTTAAATGTTATTTTTTTCTATAAATAAATTGTATAGCTTTCCAGGTTTTGTTTTTATTAATTTATTTCTCACTCGACAATTAAAAAAAAGTAGTTAAACATAGTTTATAAAATATAAACTAGAAGTAAGAAAAACTATTTATTTTAAATGAAAAATACCTAATCGCAGGGTTAATAATAGCGTCACTTTTACCTCATTCTCCTTACCATTTCTCATGATAAAAAATTTGATTTCCGGATTTTTCGATATCTGTCAGTACATCAATCTTAACCTCCCCTTATTAGAAAGAATGTCAATCATGTCTCGGAATGTCATTCCGATTGACCGTCTGGGACTCGGTTTCAGATATATGAGGCGATTAGGGTATATTTGAAGAACAAGATAGAAATAGGAAAAACTTGGAGTTAGATTGAAGATATTTTTTATATAAATAAATGGGACAGAACACATAAATGATGAAAAAACATGGATTAAATATTTAATTGATGGATTAGATATACTATTTTTTTTAAAGTTTAATAAATAAAAGGGTATTAAAAAGACTCCGTTAAGTATTGTTTTGCTCCATATCAATACACTATGATACATATTTCGCTGAATTTCAATACAAAATACTGACAAAAGTGAATAATTATATTAAGGTTTAAAAAAAATGTATAACTTTTTAAAAAGCAAATGGTTTAAAAATAAAATAATAGCAAATAAAATAATGAATCATTACGCGGTCTGGTCCCTTTTCATTGTCACCCATCCACATTATTTTCACTTGCATATTAATCGTGAAAAGGAATACTTCTGAAAGGAAACGAGCGCTAATTGAAGGGAACGGTATGCCTATGGAGATGGGGCGATATGGCCAGTTATAAAAGTTTCACTTTACACTTAAAAATTAATCTCCCTTATCGGATGCCAGTCATTTCCCCCTCCGCAGTCTTTGAAACCGCACTCAGCCGTGGTTTTCCTTTTTTTTTATTATTATTATTTTTTTTTTTGTTTCGCTCTCCCCTAAACCGAAGGCGCCCCTCGAATATTTATTTTCCCGACAGGGGCTATTCCGGGTCGTCCTGTTACGCAAGACAATGGTCTATATTAAATAACCCAGTCATGCGGGTGACAAGCTCATGTCCGTCAGAGGCAGTCCGAGGCTCTTTTAGTTCCCCGTCTCTTCCATGGGATCCGAGTATTTTTGACAACTACCGAAATCGGACGAAGACCACATCCAAGCGGGCAGATATAGAAGAATCGTTCAGAGGAACCGGATTGCTTTGGTTCCAAAATTAGTAAAAAAAAAAAAAAAATTGTGTCTACATTCGATAAAAGAATAAATAATATTTATTTATTTATTGTGATTCTTCAAAACATAAAATCAAGGATTTACAATACTATGATAAAGGAAGTTCTTATAAACCACTGCGTGGTCAGGATATTAAGACCGTAAAAAACGTACTGAAAGAAGAAAATGATATGGAATAGATGGACCAATAAACAACTGCTTACAGAAACTTGTAAAACAATTTCTTATGTTATGAAGCCAAGTAGGTTTAGAACTAGATTCCAAGTATTGAGACATTCATAACAATGAATGCTTCAATCTTTGGCAAATGTCCACGTGGAAGACCAAAAAGATCGAAACAACAAATATGCCGAAGAGCTGAATTCAGAAAACTGGAAAGTAATAGTCCTTGAAAGGAAGAAGTAGAGAAGACGAAGATCTACAAGGTCATTAAAGCCAAGAGAAAAAATAAATAAATAAATTTTAAAATATCAGGAAAACTAAATAATAATAAAAACAGATCTAACTAATAACTAATAAAACAGATCTTAATAATAAAAAATCTCCTTGGTGTTTTCCTTTTCAAGTTCTCAGAACCAAAAACTCTCTCTACATCCTGGAACTCCTTACTACACGCTCCTCTATCCACTCTCTTAATACTAGGTCTCAACCTACAGATTTATATATTTCCTTCCATAAAACGACTTCCTTCAGCATATCCTTTGTCATTCGTGCTACAACCTTTTGGAACTCTCTTCCTACCTCAATCCTCGTCCACGAATTCCTTCAAACAACTCCTGTTCCACCACCTACTCCACATTCAAACTACCGATAACATGTAAAATTAGTTGTATCTGTATACTGTTGAATTTCAATCTACTGCACAGTTGCAATAACAATAAGCATTGTTTACTTAATTTACATTTTTTTAAATTTTAAACCAGACTATTACCCAAAAATTTTAACACTGTTATTATTCTTAGTCGACTGTTGCCCCAGAATAAAATTATTTTTTCTTTTAATTTCATTTTCATTTCATCTACTGATAACCTGGACACATGCCTTGCCTTGGCAGACATAAGTAGAAAATATGACAATGGCAATCCTTACAGAGGGAGATCTAATCTTTACTGGGCTGCTTTAACTCTTAAAGCAAATAAGCCTTAATGACTTATCATAATAATAAAACATTTACATCCCTATTCTGAATATAAAATTTTTTTCGTTAAATTTCTTAATTTACGCATTAAAATATTAATGCAATGTAGTTCGATTTGTGAAACTGTACAATTACTTACTGTTTAAAATAAAGTTAAGATGAATGAAAAAGGTTTATTAATAAGAAAAAATAAATTGCTAAAATATTTCAAATAATCAATTTTGATTTTCTTATGATCCATTTGATTTTGCAACTATTATAATACAGGTGCCTGGAATATACACGTATACATATTGTTGCTCTATCCTAAAATAAATATTCAATAATGAGTAATAATAATCACAGTAATTAATTAATTACAAATTCCGTTATATATGGACTTCCGATGTCTAGTCCGGACTAACGAGACTCTGTTGTACTCAACTATTTTATTTGGTAAATAGATAATAACAGAGTCTGCGTAGAAGGAAAATCATTCCCGAGAGTAGAAAAATTCAAAACCTCGATTCCACAACAACCTTAATGAATGACCAACGTTAAGAAACAGAACAGCGTATAAATAGCGCAAACAGAACTTTTTTTCCCCTTTCTCTCAAATTAAGGGTGTACAAAGCCATGATAAACCAGTTCTAATATATGACTGTGAGATCTGGACACTAACCGGCACCCTAGAAAAAGGTATTAAAGATTTGAGAGAAAAATCCTCTGCAGGATAACCGGAGTGATCTGGGATCAGAATACTAAGAACTGACCTGAAGACTAAGAACTGATCAGAATACTAAGAACTGATCAGAATACTAAGAACCTGATACTAAGAACTGCTTTCACAAACTGGTCAACCAATACACCAGGACATGAAGACACGGAGATTATGAAGGGCGCGGCATGTAGCTCGTAGCAATCCATCTGGAAGTCTCTACGTAACAATGAATGTCTCAATAGAAGGCATAAGACCAAAAAACAGATGGATAGATAGAATCAACAAAGATGAAATAGAGCTGCGTACAGATAACTGGAAAGAAATAACGCAAGGCTGGCAGAGATGGAGCAAGCTTGTTAAGGCGGCAAAAGGTCAACAAAAAATATATATAAAGGAAGGAGATGGTCAGGGGTGGCGGTCATAAATAGGCTAAATATTGGCAAAACTATTTTATCAAACATTATTTCAGTTCGAAGTGACACTCCTAGCTGTACACAACTCCCTGAAGAACACCTGCAAAGTCGGATCGAAACGTTGGCTTTTAATGGAAGGAGATGGTCCGTGGTTGCGGTCATAAATAAGCTAAATAGTGGTAAAACTATTTTATTGAAAGCCGACGTTGCAGGTCTTCTTCAGGGAGGTGTGTTCAGCTAGGAGTTTCACTTAGAACTGAAACTTTTTGTTCTCTCTCTCTCTCTCTCTCTCTCTCTATATATATATATATATATATATATATATATATATATATATATATATATATATATATTCTTCTTTCACAACTTTCGTGAAAAACCTTCTTTCACACTTTCTATTCATATTCTAATCATTTCTTGAACAGAATAAATTCTCATAAATTATTTACCGGGTATTTATTTAATTAAATTTTTTGTACACAACTCCCTGAAGAACACCTGCAAAGTCGGATCGAAACGTTGGCTTTTAATGGAAGGAGATGGTCCGTGGTTGCGGTCATAAATAAGCTAAATAGTGGTAAAACTATTTTATTGAAAGCCGACGTTGCAGGTCTTCTTCAGGGAGGTGTGTTCAGCTAGGAGTTTCACTTAGAACTGAAACTTTTTGTTCTCTCTCTCTCTCTCTCTCTCTCTCTCTATATATATATATATATATATATATATATATATATATATATATATATATATATTCTTCTTTCACAACTTTCGTGAAAAACCTTCTTTCACACTTTCTATTCATATTCTAATCATTTCTTGAACAGAATAAATTCTCATAAATTATTTACCGGGTATTTATTTAATTAAATTTTTTAAATATTATTCAAGAGAGGAGAGGAGTAAAACAGGGGAAGAAGAATCCACGTATAAAAACATAGTAATCCAGCAAAAGCTGGTGTAGTGGCAATAAGAGAGATCCTGTTTTTACAGAACACGGACTAAATCCCTACACGGGCGGGGCATCAACAGCTGCATGTTACACCAACTGCCAACATTTTTATCTCCTTTTTTTATATAATTGCTTTTTTAAAGTCCTCCGCATTCTTTCTGTTAAAACATTCTGTTATAATTTTAAACAAACAGTACTCGGCTAAGTATTTTACATTAATTCGTAATTATAATGCAAGAACTATTAAAAAATTATAGAAAATAATGTAATTTTAAATAAATCTTTATTCGTTTTGTTATTAAAATAACAAGATTATTTCTTAAACATTTGTTTTTTCAATACGAAGATATCCTATTATTTTTAATCAACTAATGACAAAATGTATTACGTATTAGGATGATAATATAATTTTGAATTATAGTAAACTTTAAAAAATCGCTGAGGAAATTATCAGAGATATTCTTGAAAAGTCTTGTCAAAATAAATAGAAGCTTTTACAAACTCTTGCCAATGCCGTTTAGTACTTTCAAATATGAAACCATTAGTTTGTTGCCTTGTAGTACATTTAACATTAAATATCCTCGAAAAGATAATTAACCTACTTCTAATAATCAAAAATTAGATTTAATTTTCAAAGAAAAAAATATTTTTAGTAATATTTTGAAACTGGCATCCTTAATTACAGGTCCATTAATTAAAGTTATTAATTGTATCCAGTATGCGATATATAAATTTATGGTTAAGTAATAATGCTCAGTAACTTAGGATGTATTAAACCAGTGATGATACAGTACATAAAAAATAATATGGGGAAATAAATGAAAGAAGAAAGCCAGTAGAACTTTTAATAAAACATTTACCTTCGTCAAGAGTTTAATTTTCTATATTCTTGATTTGTTCTGACGTCCTTACAAAACAAAAGTTCCAAATAAGGGCATAATAATAATATTTCTAGTTATAAAGTCAAGAACAAGTTATTAAAAAAAAATACAAATGCAAACTTTATTTCAGAAATTCAATATTAAAAGATATTTAATACTAAAACAAAATTTAAAATTTATTTTTTTTGTTCTTATTGAGCTGAGATAAAACCTAAAAATCTTACGACGCGACAAAATTTGGAGATATCAAATAAAAAAGTGTTATTTTAGTCCAAAAATCACAAATTTATATTTAATTGAGAAAATTTCATCTTAAACTACACGTACATCACAATGTACTTATCAACGACATGGCCATGGCTAAAATACTCATCAGGAGGCGACTGAAAAAGAGCTGGATGAGAGACCTCCTTTCCTGATTTTAGGATGAAACATACCAGAGAAGAGGTGCTGGTGAGTTCCATTCTTCGTCATGCGTATCATGCCATTTTTTATCTAACAACAAATCTGCTAATTTTCATTTCTTCATTGACAGGTGCGGATGAAGAATTGAAAACCAAAAAAAATTGATAAAATGGTTCAATATTAATGATATAATTTCAATAACTTAAAATCCAGTCAAATTATACAAGTCATTTCCTTCATTCTGGCATCATTTAATAGTGATAATTATTCTACAAAATTATTTTTGTTACACATAATAATAATAAAAACTATAATCCGTACATATATTATTACAGTAAGGCTCGAAATCGGTTTTGTACCAAATATAAGCTCCTGTCATCCTCAAATACCACGAATGGGGTACCGTTGGATTCAGAATTTCACGGGGGGTTAGCAAATCGTATTCTCCACTTTTGTTTTTCTTTCTAAAATAAATAAATTCGATACAAACATTTTGCTAGGCTT